TTCAAATGAATAGGACAATTCTACCTCTGCATACTTTGGACTATTTCAGGTATCAACAAGTTCAGCTCTTCAAGGACGTTCATGCTTCTATTCAGAATGTTTCTAAACTTCATAATTTTGAAATATGTAGCTTTATTTTGACAGTTTTGCGCCATTCAAATGAATGGTAAAAATCTACTTCAGCATGCTTTAGGCTATTTCAGGTATCAAAATGTTCAGCTCTTCAAGGACATTCATGCTTCTATTCAGAATTTTCCTAAACTTCAAAGTTTAAAAATATTTAGCTTTATTTTGAAAGTTTTGCCCCATTCAAATGAATGGGAAAATTTCAATTCAGCATACTTTCAGCTATCAAAATGTTCAGCTCTTCAAGGACATTCATCCTTCTATTCAGAGGTTTTCTAAAGTTCATACTAACAAAATATTTTACTTTATTTTGAAAGTCTTGCCCCATTCAAATGAATGGGACAATTCTACTTCAGCATATTTTCAGGTATGAAAATGTTTAGCTCTTCAAGGACATTCATGCTTCTATTCAGAAGTTTTCTAAACTTCATACTTTTGAAATATTTAGTTTTATTTTGAAAATCTTGCCCCATTCAAATGAATGGAAAAATTCAACTTCAGCACACTTTCAGCTATCAAAATGTTCAGCTCCTCAGGGACATTCATGCTTTTCCTCAAAAATTTTCTAAACTTCATACTTTTGAAATATTGAGCTGTTTTTTGAAAGTTTTGCCCTATTCAAATGAATTTAAAAATTCTACTTCAGCATACTTTCAGCTATTTCAGGTATCAAAATGTTCAGCTCTTCAAGGACATCCATGCTTTTCTTAAGGATTTTTCTAAACCTTATACCTTCGAAATATTTAGCTTTATTTTGAAAATTTTGCTCCATTCAAATGAATAGGGAAATGTTTACTTCTGGATACTTTCAGCTATTAAAATGTTCAGCTCTTCAAGGACATTCATGCTTCCATTCAGAATTTTTGTAAACTTTATCCTTTTAAAATATTTAGCTTTATTTTGAAAATCTTGCCTCATTCAAATGAATGGGAAAATTCTACTTTAGCATACTTTCAGCTATTAAAATGTTCAGGTCCTCAAGGACATTCATCCTTTTTTTCAGAAAGTTTCTAAACTTCATACTTTTTAAAATATTTGCCTTTATTTTGAAAATCTTGCCCCAGTCAAATGAATAGGAAAATTCTACTTCAGCATTCTTTCAGCTATCAAAACCATTCAGATGTCAAAGTGTTCAGCATTTTCAGGGCGAACTTTCAGCAGTCAGCATCAATATGCATTTTCTTCAGAAAATGCATTTTTCTAGTTATTATCATTATTATTATTCCGTACATTTTTTGGCCTTTAACTAGTTCCACATACTTTCAGCTGGAAAAACCATTCAGGTATCAAAATGTTCAGCTCTTCAAGGACGTGTGGATCTATTTCGATTTTTCCTAAACTTCATACTTTTTGAACTACTCAGTGTTTTTTAGAAAAATTTTGCCCCATTCAAATGAAGGGGGAAATTCAACTTCAGCATACTTTCAGCTATTTCAGCTATTGAAATGTTCAGCTCTTCAAGGACATTCATGCTTTTCTTCAGAACTTTTGTAAACTTCATACTTTTGAAATATTTAGCTTTATTTTGAAAATCTTGCCCCTTTCAAATGAATGGGGAAATTCTACTTCAGCATAATTTCAGCTATCAAAATTTTCAGCTCTTCAAGGACATTCATGCGTCTCTTCAGAATTCTTCTAACCTTCATACTCTTGAAATATTTAGCTTTATTTTGAAAATCTTGCTCCATTCAAATGAATGGAAATAGGCAGGTTTTATTGTTCTGTAATAATTACAGACTATTTGGAGTCATGAGGGGTGCCAAGTTAATCTAGAGGTACCCATGATTAAACATTAAATGGCTGGAAATGACCCAAATGAGCAGCCATGGGGACTTGGAGACAATTAAAAAGTAAGCAGAAACCTCGCCCTCTGAATGGTCAATGTGTTTTCAGGCCTGGGCGCAGAATCCGGAGTTTCCTTCTTTGACGTGGTGAAGAACACACCTGAACCACACCTAATGGCCACGCCCCATCCTGCAGCGCAGCAGGTAACTACGCCCATCCATTCAAAATAATAGAAACAAAGAGGAATCACTAATTGAGGTGTGTGGTAACATTTAACATTTACTAAATGTACACATTTTTTTTTGCCTAAGTGCATCTTTCCATTCACTTCAGTGGGTTGCCACCTTGAAAATCTACTCCCTTTCTGACCACAATAGGAATGGGTTCATGCCAAAAAGAGGGTCATTTTAATAAGGATAAGCACCTTTATTTGGCCAAGTATGTTACACACAAGGAATTTATTACCAGTACGGAACCAAGGCAGCCATCTGTGGCGCCAACTCAACTGATGGCTCTAACCATCAGGGGGCAACTTGGGGGTTCAGTGTCTTGCCAAAGGACACTTCGAGATGTGGACTGCAGGCACCGAGATTCAAACCTTCGACTCTCCGGTTGGGAGATGACTGCTCTGCCCACTGAACCACAGTTGCCCCCACTCTCTGTTTTCTCTCTCTCTATCTCTGTCTATCTACCTACATAGTTATGTCTTCAACTTTAAGCTACTAATGTATAGAAATAATAGAAACAAACCACTGAATGACATGGTGTTTCCTGCTAATAGTAAAACAGTACAGATGGTAAACAACTTGCAGATAAATATTCAAAGCATCCAACCAAAAACCTTTACAGCACACTTCTTCTTGTGTTCCAGGTGTACGACCAGATGCTTAAACGCTATACCCGATTGGAGGAGATAGTTCTGCAGGCGCACTGCACTGGTGCCACCACCACCAATAAGCCATGTTGATGGAAATAATAACACAACTAAATAGATTTTTTTTTAAACTCGTGTTAATTTCAAATAAAATCAGGTTCAGTAATGAAAAGTTAATGTAAAAGGTGTGCTGAACACTGAACATGACCTCTAATGATTAAATTTGCTTAGGTGGAATGAACATGGTCACTCACAGTGATGTGTTAAGTGAAAATGCACTGCCATTCACATCCTTTTAGTACAAGTGTGTAATAACATGTTAGTTAAGTAGCAATCAGCAACACAATGAAACAGTATTAGACTTTAAAGTACAATAAAAGCGGAGTGTCTTTCAGTACACTTTGTGCTAACATGCCAGCTAAGTGACACAATAAATCATGATATCTTACTGTAGGGTCTTATGTTGATGTGTCATTGATGGATAATTAACCAGCATGTAAGATTCCCAGCTAGCAACTTGTTATATTACCCTGGAGTCTGTTGATTTATCATGTCGCTGAGAGCTACTCGGATAGCATGTTGATGCTCATTAGCACAAAAACACACCCACCTAGCAACCCATTGGGTACATCCTAAATCTCTTATAAGCTGCACAAGAATTCCTATATGCCTAGACTGTCTGTTTATGCATAAATGGCAAATAAAATCTTGACTTATACTGTAAGTATCGTCGTTTCCCTCACTTGTATCTTAGTCTCACCCACATAAGGTGCAAGGAGAATGTGAGGAAAAAAGAAGAAAACACTGATGACATGAGATGCCTTCTCCTCAGAGCCTTTATGTGAAGTGTCCAATCACCGACTGATTTCAGATAAAGGGGCGTGTCACTTCACAAAAAACTTCTGCAAAGGATGTGTCCTCAGTGATGGCTCTTCTGGGACCGTCCTCGCTCCTCAGTCCTCAGAGCCAATATAAGAGACTGGGAATATCCTACATCCTCAGCCGACTGGAGCAACTTTCGGAGCGACTGGGGACCAAGGACTTAGAAGTCGGTCTTTTAATGGATATAGAGATCTTATAAAAGATATGAGATGTACCCGTCCATCCATCCATCCATTTTCCTCCACTTATCCGGAACCAGGTTGCGGGGGCAGCAGTCTAAACAAAGATGCCCAGACTTCCCTTTCTCCAGACACTTCCTCCAGCTCCTCCGGGGAGATACCGAGGCGTTCCCAGGCCAGCCGAGAGACATAGTCCCTCCAGCATGTCCTGGGTCTTCCCCGGGGCCTCCTCCCGGTGGGACATGCCCGGAACACGCCAGCTGTACCCGGGATCTTGCCCTTTTGGTCATAACCCAAAGTTCATGACCATAGGTGAGAGTCAGAATGTAGATCGACCGGTAAATCGAGAGCTTCGCCTTGCAGCTCAGCTCCTTCTTCACCACGACAGACCGGTATATTGACCGCATTACTGCAGAAGCTGCACCGATCAGTCTCCCGTTCCATCCTTCCCTCACTCGTGAACAAGACCCCAAAATACTTAAACTCCTCCACTTGAGGCAGGAACTCTCCACCAACCTGAAGGGAACAAGCCACCCTTTTCCTACTGAGAACCATGGCCTTGGACTTGGATGTGCTGATTCTCATCCCAGCTGCTTCACACTTGGCTGCAAACCACCCCAGTGCATGCTGGAGGTCCTGGTTTGGTGGAGCCAACAGGACAACGTCATCTGCAAAAAGCCGGCCCCTGGCTGCATCTAGAAAGTCTGTCCATAAAAATATTGAACAGAACTGGTGACAAAGGGCAGCCCTGCCGGAGTCCAACGTGCACTGGGAAAAAGTCTGACTTACTGCTGGCAATATGAACCAAGCTCCTGCTCTGGTCATACAGGGACCAGACAGCCCCTAGCAAAGGGCCCTGGACCCCGTACTCCTGGATCACCCCCCACAGGGCGCCACAAGGGACACGGTCGAATGCCTTCTCCAGATTCACGAAACACATGTGGACTGGTTGGGCAAACTCTCATGAACCCTCCACCACCCTGAATCCGGGATAGAGCTAGTCCAGTATTCCATGGCCAGGACGAAAACCGCATTGTTCCTCCTGAATCCGAGGTTCGACTATTGGTCAAATTCTCCTCTCCAGTACCCTGGCATAGGCTGAGGAGTGTGGTCCCCCTATTGTTGGAACACACTCTCCGGTCCCCCTTCTTGAAAAGAGGGACCACCACCCCGTTCTGCCAGTCCAGAGACACTGTCCCGAACCGCCATGTGACATTGCAGAGGCGTGTCAGCCAAGACAGCCCCACAACATCCAGAGATTTAAGGTACTCAGGGCGGATCTCATCCACCCCCGGTGCCTTGCCACCGAGAAGCTTCTTAACTACCTCGGTGACTTCAGCTTGGGTGATGGACGAGTCCACCTCCGAGCCCCCGGCCTCTGCTTCCTCATCGGAAGACATGACGCTGGGGTTGAGGAGATCCTCAAAGTATTCCTTTGAAGAATTCGAGGAATACTTCGAGATGTACCCATAATCTTGCGAATTATGAACCATTTGACTTTTGATATTGTTGCTCACCAATTATGAATTTTTAGCTGTTTAAGTTTAAGTAATTTTTAAATGTATTAATAAAATTTTACAAAACCTGTCATGAACACACCTTTAGTTATTTCACTTCTTGTCAATTCAGAGTGAACAATAGTACACACAATCAGTATGTTATATTTCCTGTCGATGCCTGGAAATTCATTTTGTTTGTGTGAACACAAAATGACCACAAAGAGACTCAAACCGACTACAAAAGGTAACTTAAAATCTTTCTCATGGCACTTTTATTGTGAATTGGGAACTTTGTGTGCAGGTAATTTTTTGTGTTTATGTTGTGTTTCTGAAATCCTAGCAGAGGATCCCAGAAAAGTTGTGCATATTTATCAGTTTTCAGTGTCAAACTCCATAGAGTAAAATTGTTCTCCTAAGCTGTGGTAAAACAAGTGGGAACCATGCTCCATACAGTTATTCGCTCTAAGGAAATCTCAGTTAAGTTTTGTAAATCTCCATATATATAACAGGGGTTGTTTTAAAATGGATTTGTTATGTGTCTGGGTTTTATTTTCAGATTGAAATTGTACTGAACAATGCAGGCATGTGCATGTGACTTTGTTTTGTGCCCAGCCCTGCCATAACATCTGTATGTGGCTGTAAAGTGGTTGGAGGTGGGTGTGTGAATATATCATGAAAATCTAAATGGAGTTCTGAATGGATATGCTTTTTGTTTTTGGCTTTTGGAATTCAGTCAGCTGTGATGTGCATTTCAGGGGTGTGTGTGTGTGTGTGCATCTGTGTGCAGCTGCTGCTCCATTGTCTGCTCAGGCTTGTAGTATCTTCAACACCGCTGATGACTGAAGCTTAATTTTTCCACTATTATACTTCTGCCAAAAGGTATGAGAGACCACACAAAGCAGATTGCAAGTCCACATTTGAGAGCACACAGGCACAGATTTGTAAAAACATAAGATTTGACCAATCCCGACTGTGCATGTGCTCATTTCTAAGTCTGCCCTCTGTTTTCTCCAGATAATTTCGTGTGAATGTATGTCCTTGCCAAAATGTTTCCGAGCACACACCAAATTTTGAGCACTAATAAGTTTGCAGGTCAGAGTTTAAGCATCTGCAGGCACAGATCTGGAATAGCAGAATCAGATCTGTAGCAAGGGAGAGCATAACAGATGATGAGACTCACTACAGACAGGAGGTCCAGCACCTGACGAAGTGGTGTTCAGATAACAATCTTGTCCTGAACACCAACAAGACTAAGGAGGTCATTGTGGATTATAGGAAGTCCAGGAAGACAATACATGCTCATCTTCTCATACATGAGGAGGTGGTGGAGCAAGTGGATAACATCAAGTTCCTGGGCATCCAAATCACATCTGACCTGACCTGGTCTCTGAACACATCCTACCTGGTGAAGAAAGCCCAGCAAAGGCTTTTCTTCCTCAGGAAGCTGAAACGTGCTGGTCTCTCCTCTCAGCTGCTCGCAAACTTCTACAGAGCAACAGTAGAGAGCATCCTCTGTCTCAGTGCGACAGTGTGGTACGGGAGCTGCACTGCACAGGACAGAACGGAATTGACCCGGGTGGTGAGAACAGCTCAGGGCATTGTAGGGAGTCCTCTTCTGGATCTGGACTCACTATACACTGACTGGATCAAGAGGAGGGCCAGATGGATTGCTGCAGAACCCACCCACCCAGGTAACAGTCTGTTTGTGCCTCTTCCCTCCAGGAAAAGGTACAGGACTATAAAGACTAAAACAAACAGACTGAGACGCAGCTTCTTCCCCAGAGCTGTGAAATCAATCACCCCCCTAACCCCTAGTCACACACACAACCTACCCCCCACAGACAGTTACAGATAGAATACTGGACTCCTGCAGATGCACAGACATGCTCACACTTCTTAAAGACTGAGATTTGCACTGACCTGCACTTTAGAATGGGACTATATTCTTCTGCTGCTAATATCCTGATTAGGTCCTACACATCTTCATTTTTATCTGTTCATATTCTTATATTGACTGTACAATTCTTGTGTTATTTATCTAAATAATGTGTCTTTTAAGCCGAGAGCTGCTGGAAGAAATTTCGCTGTACTATGCATAATGACAATAAAGATTCTTGATTTGACTTGAGCGAGCAGAAGGATGCTCTGACTTGCAATAATCAAAGCTGATCACGCTCACTCAACTCAAGCTAAGAGCAAGGTGTCACCTGGGACCCGTCATCTTAAGTGCCATTGCAGCAGGGTGATTTTAGTAGGCTAGTTAATTAAAAATAGTTAGGGTTTTATAGGTTTGTGTGTTGGCAATGTCCCAGTCTGATGCTAATGTAAGTAAGTGGAAGGCTAAATCCAGATAAAAGCTGTCCATAAGTCTGATGCAGACAATTACAAACCCACTCTGTGAATTATAAAATAATTTAAGGCAATTGACACTTAACCTGACCCTGGAACTCCTAGAGACCCAATAAACCTAGACCCAAAGGCCTCTGGTGGACCTCACATCGATGTGTGTGTCTTGTTGTTTTCCAGACAACATCTGCCCCCGACACCCAGACTGGGCTGCCCCCCCATCTCCGAGCAAATAACAGCACAGACTCAGGAAGAGTCCTTGAGGGAAACGGGGGGCACCCCCCAGTATCTGTCACTTTGTCAGTGAATGCCAGCTGACCACCCTGCCCCCATCTGTCATAGCAAGGCCCCACATTTGAACCAAACACATTGTGCACCATGACCACAGAGGCTAGTTACTAGCTTCCTAGACTGGCCCCAAACGTTCCTAAGCATCCTTGGCTGAAGACAAGACAGAGACAAAATGGCTACAAATACACAAAATAACACAGTGACTACAACTACTCAGAATCACTACACAGTCGTAAAACTCATACAATGACACTAAATGACTACCAACAAATGTAGAATGACCACAAAAACTGAAAACTACTACAAAAAGACAAAAATTCACTAAAGTTGTATGCAGTGATTGAAAATGACCACTAAGACTCACAATTACTACAAATAGGTACAATAATACTAGGATGTATATCAGCAGAGTTATCAGGTAAATGAATGGAAGTCAGTGTAATGTCCTCGTAAGTGATGAAGTGTGTGTGTACTGGTGTAGACTTTCCCATGATTTTGTATCACAGATGTGACACACAAAGAAACACACTAAGTCTGCCAGATCCCTGTGTGTGTGTGTGTGAGATCCCT